AAAAAATTTATATCTTTATGTTTGAAGCCTGAAATGTGGCAAAAGGTTGAAAAGTTCAAGGGGGCCGAATACTTTCGCAAGGCACTGTATAAATTTACATCACAAAATGGTTATCTCACTCATTTGGCTATGGTATAAATGCCTGAACATGAGAGACCTGCCAGTCACAAACTCCCCTAGGACTGGAAGCATATGGTGTTGGGATGTGAAGGAAAATGATAAACACTACGGAAGAAAAGTCTTTAAAAGTAACCAGTTAGCAAGATACAGTATGTGTAAATTCAAGTTTGTCCCCAAAAATTTAGCTTCCAAACTTCATATTAAATTGTGTAAATGCTGATAAGTGCGCTGGAACTATACACAAAAAATATAACTATTATTCATTAACCAATCTGGTATTTTATGACAAAGAAGCATGTCCAGGCCATTTTAATAATGCTTTTAATGGTAAAAGAGCAATTTAAGTCTAGTAAAAACAGTGTTAAACATTGAAATCAATTAGGGATGGTGTTACTGTTGAGCACCTTTGTGGAGTGATGCTTTACAAATGTTAAAAAACAAAAATCAGCGTGGATTTCAAAAACTAAAATGGTTTCAGTTATTAAAAATCCCTACCTTGGGTTTGTTTCTTGTTCAACATATTATCAGCTTTGTGACGTTTCTGCAAAACAAAATAAAAACAGTAGTAAAAATAGTAATAGTAGTAAAAAGCTAAGTAAAAAAATATTAGTAAAAAATAAGCACTTCCAACCTACATTACTTGGTATTCCAGAGATATCTTTTTTAGGTGTAATATGTGCTAAAATTTGATGGATCAATTGATCTGTACATGCATAACCGAAGCAAAGTCCCAGCTCGAACTCTAATTCTGAATGAAACCACATAACATGAAAAATTGCAAAAGAGAAACAGAAAATGAAAAAATAAATTACCCCAAGACATTAAACATTTGTTTTCTTTTTGGTACCTGTTTAAAAACATATTTTTAAAAAATCAGCCTTATAGATGCATGCTAACGCCATATCTTTTAGTAGTACCTTTTGATAGGCACAGTACAAGTATTGCATGGTGTGCGCTTTTAGCCTCCTTGCTCCACAACTCTGGAACAACCTGAGAAATGTAACTCGTTTTTTACAGTTTTTAAATCTAGACTCAAAACATATCTGTTTATTTAGACTTTTATTATGTTAGAATTTCACCCTTTTCCACATTTTTATCACTACCTTTGTTTATTTCTGTTTATAGTTATTTTCATTTTATTTGTCTCTTTTTTGAGTGTTACCTGTAAAGTGCTCCAAACATATTGTTTGGCATATGTAGTCACAGAAATAAATAATGCTAAAAAAAATTGTGTTTTCAGATGGCTGTGTTCTAAAAGACATTATGGAAATAAAAGTGTGTTTAAGGTCATTTATTTTTAAAGTTCATAAAAGTGTTTTCAGAATTCCAACAAGAAAAGACAACAAGATTAGTATTTAATAGAGTGTTGGTGATGTATTGGATATCATAGAAATTAAAAATTCAAACTGAAAGGAAAACAGATTTTCTTTTTAATCTCTTTACAATATGTTCCTTGAAAGAATGCTTTTAGACACAGAAGAATTCTACAAACTAACTGACCCATATCTTATGTAAATATACATCACATCAAAACAAGGGTGGCATATCTGAAAAGCAAATTGTGAAGCAATGTCTACATACACAATACAGAAGCACAAAATGCTTCTTAAAGAATTACGGATATACAGATGCAGCCATTCAAAGCGCGCAGTACAAACACGTACCGCGGGCAGTACCGCAGTACGTGATTGGTTGGCCAAAATGAGCAACAGGGGCACTCGTGGTGAGTTGGGGTGTTGTGGAAAGGTTTAATCATTTAATGTCTTTACTGTACACGTTTTAATCCGCTTACTATTGAATATTTATATGGAATTTTACCACTGAAGGGAAATTTTAGTAGCTGAGCATAAAAAGAATAGGAGCATAACGCATCTGAAGGTTATAAACAATATTAATTTAGGAACATAAGCATATTATGTCAACTGTATATGGCTGGTCTCGGTACTTTAAAGAAAAAGTACACACCAGTATTCCATTTCTCCCTAAACATTTTAAGTATCAAAGTCTTACATGTGGTTATTTCGGAAACGTTTTTATGTGCTCCTTGCTCCCTCTGACCATGTTACTGTACTGGACGTTTATACAGTATACAGTACTCTGTGATAGTTTTAAGTGATAGTTTTAAGCTTTTCTGCGAATATGCTCGATACCGAAGTAAACAGAAGCATACTTTTAGAATTTAATTAATAGGAAATATAATATGGAATCGTGTATCTAAAGAAATTAATAACGATATAATTATATTCATGTACTGTAACACAAACAGTAGTATATTCTGTACACATACAGTATCTATTGATATGTGTATGGCTGTTTCACTACTTGTCATGTGACCATGGTAGTGGCGTGATGGTTTAAGTGCCTGACTTATACGCGGGAGGTCGGTTGTTCAAATCCAGCTAGCGCCATGAATTTTCTTTTAACAAACATTTCTTTGAAAAATAAAATTGCAATATTGTGGACAATTAATTGACTTTTTTATATTTCTAAATATCACAACATGTTTGAATCTAAGTCATTTTTTTAATAACAATGAATAGCCAGCAGACTGATCATATTGTATTCCATACAATATGTATTGAATACTGTACTGGACGCGATTCCATATTGTATTCTAAAATTCTAAAAGTATGCTTCTGTTTACTCCGGTATCGAGCGTATTCGCAGTAAAGCTTAAAACTATCACAGAGTACTGTATACTGTATAAACATCGAGTACAGTAACATGGTCAGAGGGAGCAAGTAGCACGTTTCCAAAATAACCACATGTAAGACTTTGATGCTTAAAATGTTTAGGGAGAAATGGAATACTGGTGTGTACTTTTTCTTTAAAGTACAGAGACCAGCCATTTACAGTACAGTTTACATACAGTAATATGTTTATGTTCCTAAATTAATATATTTTATGAGCATGTGAAAACCATGGTGAGTCGGAGATTCTCAAGAATTACTTTGCATGATTGGAAACAAATGCGTGATTGGATCAACGAAATGCTGTGGTGTTACTTTTTGTTAATGAAAAAATAAAGTATTTTGTTTACAAAGACGGTCAATGAAAAAATAAAGTATTTTCATTTACAAAGACGGTTACAAAGAATGTGGTCAATGGTAAAACTTTGAGTTTACAGCTTGTCCAAGGTCATTCATTATTAATACTATTAGTTATATCTTCAGTAAAGACTTTGATGACGACAGCTCAAACGCCGTACATGAGAGGTTGAGCTTTATTAGCTCCACTTGGCGGTAATTCCGGACACTATTATCTTACTTGCGGTATTATGCGGGATTATACGGTAACCGTTGTTATACCGCGACACGCCCACCGCGTTTTAACGCGGTATATCCCGCTCGTTTTGAATGGCTGCATCTGTAGAAACATTATGATTTATTATTAGATATTATGAGATTTTTATTGCTAATTTATTACAAAAATTAATAAAAGAACTGACTCAATTTTACAATTAATTTAGGCCAGCACCCATATCACACTGAAAATCACAACTCACAACTGGCAACCCAGTGAAGCTAAGCAGGTGTGAGCCTGGATCGGAGACCTCCTGGGAAAAACTACGGTTGCTGCTGGAAGTGGTGCTCATGTAAAACTGAGATCCTGACTCTCTGTGCCCATTAAAAATCCCAGGGTGTTTCTTCAAAAAAGTTGGGGTGTTACCCCAGCGTCCTGGCAAAATTCTCATTGTCCTTTAGCAATCATGGCCTCCTAATAATTCCCTTCTATGAATTCATCAGCTGATTGTTGATGTGTAGTGAAGGTACTGTGCACATTATGGCTGCTGTCACATCATCCAGCGAGGTGCTGTACATTAGTGGTGGAGGGGAGTCCCCATAACCTGTAAAGTGCTTGGAGTGGACTGTCCAGAAAAGTGCTATATAAGTGTAAGGAATTATTATTATTAAAACACTTAATGATTTATATAAGCCAAAAAAAGTCTTTGAATGCAAGGAATACTTATTTCAGGCTTCCTCTCTTAATTGATAATTTTCGTTAAATTCAGCACCAGCCGAAAAACAAAAATGTTTAACTACAGCCTTCTGAATCGAGAAGTAAGAGGAGCTTTTCCTTCTAGCTGACAAAGGTTACCTTCCTCGGGTATAATCGTTTGTATAAAGAAGTGCCTCTGAAGCTTTTTGTATTTCCATATTCTGTCCTCTGGTTGATAAACTATTGGGCTTAGCGACAAGCTAAACAAACATCAATTTTATTTTTCTTAATCTATACAAAGCTACAAAGGACCCTGAAAAGAGTTTTTAGAACTGAAAGGCAACCGAGAGGTCGCAAGTTCAAACTATTTGGAAATGTATTTAAAATTGATAGACACTAGGTATTTATTTATGAAGAAGGATGCAGAAGTATGGACAAGCTAGTCAGCCATGTTGTTGAAGTACACACTGTATAATGGCATTTTTCCAGAAATGGCTGGATGAGATCTTAGATCAATTAGCTATGAACTACCAATTGACTAGATGAGCAAAAAGTCTTTCTCTCAAGTCTAATTATTCTTATGCATGTAGTCACTTTACTGGCAATCAGAAAGCTGTGTTTCAGTACTAAAGTATTAATAAATGGCTTAAATGTTTTCCTAGGATAATGTTTTAATTCTAACACAAGAGTCAGATAAATCTGTAGGACAGAATACAAACAAAATCAAACAATACAGAAGTTTATTTGGAAAAATAGCAAGAGCACAGTGCTGTGGTTTTGGGTTTCTAGTTCAAAGCAAAATTACCTTATTGTTTAAGTTTGATACAATGGGCATTGTGTTAAGTGTGTATACAGCTGTACTTGGTCCTTAATGGAAGTAAACATGGCTGAAGCGTATGTCTCTAGAGTGAGACCAGAAGTTTTCTTGCCACAAAACCACAGTCTGTTCTTCTCAGATCACAACAACACACCATGGGTTAAACAGGGCCGCTTCAATCTGTACTAATTTACGATGAGACATCATGGGCTCTGATCTGACCCAAACAATTATTACTCCTAGTAATCCAATATTTCCATGGACAACTGAACATGCTTTCAAGTATTACAGATCAGAATCTCCAGAGGCAAGTTAGCCTTTCCAGTGGGTATCATTTAGCCCAATTAAAAATGTAACTAACAGGTTTCACAACCAGGAAAAATTCTGTTTGTAATGTTTCTTGATAAATCTGGTATTGTTAAACAGTAACTTGAAATGATTAATTATTCTTACAGACAAATCTTAACAAAAGTACAGTAATTTCTAGCTTTATACATTACCCTTCACCAATACTTTTCACCAGTATGTCTTTTGAAGTATATCAAAATTGTAAAAAAGGTAAGATAAAGAAAACAGACTTTTAATTATATAAAGTGGTGTTACCAAGTCTTCTATTATCTCTTTCACAGCTGCAACAAGAAGGATGAAGAGTAGGGGCACCAAGGTGGTATAGCGACCCGTTGGTGAAACATCTGGAATTTGCTAAAATGAGATAAAGGAGGATGAGAACAAGTTGAACACAACACCAAAATATATAATGGAAAAAATAACAAGCTTTCATATATCATATATGTATACTATGTATAAGTATAAGTTTGTGAAACCTTTAGAATCTTCAAATATTTCTGAAATGTTGATTTCACATTATTAACAACAATAATAATAAAAAAATTATTACTAACTAAATAAACAAAAATGATACTCTTTTAACATTTAATTATCTGCAAATCATGCATTAAGTATTCACATTTGATTAAGTTTACCTTTACATTCAGTAAGCAGTGGCACCCCCTTTAGCAGCAATGACTGCAACTTAACGTTTCATGTAACTGTTCCTTTAACAGTCCCTCACATTTGGCACATTACTCCTTCAACTCTGTGAAACTACAGGGCTGCCTTGCATGGACAGTTTGCTTAATGTTTTGTCACAACATCTCAATGAGTTTTGGGTCCAGACTTTGACAAGCCATTGAAAAATCTGAATTTCTTCTTCTTTGGCCATCTGTTTGTATGCTTAGTATCCCAGCTTCAGGTCAAGGGCAGATGGCCTGACATTAAGTATTTATGGTTGTATCAATAATGGTAAGCTGCCACAATCAATTTAAGTGCTTTCTGAGTCCTGGAGTTTCTTTAGAAAGTTAACTCAAAGACAGGAGGGGGAGGGTGTAGAGAAAAGTATATACAGATGCAGCCATTCAAAGTGCGCGGTACAGACACGTACCTGAGGTAATTGGCTACGGCGTCGTGCATCGTGACGCGCGATGAAGCACAATACCGCGGTACGTGATTGGTTGACCGACAGGGGCACTCGTGGTGCGTTGGTCGGTCGTAGAAAGATTTACAGTAAATGTCTTTACTGTGCCCGTTTTAGCATTGAATATTTACATGGAATTTTACCACTGAAGGGAAATCTTAGTAGCTGAGCATAAAAAGAATATGAGCATACTGTAACGCGTGTGAAGGCCATAAATGATATTAATTCTGGAACATAAACATACAGTATATGGCTGGTCTCGGTACTCTAAATAAAAAATACATACCAGTATTCTATTTCTCCCTAAATATTTTAAGCTTCGAAGTCTTTAACTAATGTGATACCGGAGTCAACAAGCATACTTTTAGAGTTTGATTAAAAGGGAATATAATATGGAATCACGTTTCTAAAGAAATAAATAACAATATAATTATATTCATGTACTGCAACACAAGAATAGTACACGCTGTACATTGTCTGTTGATAATGTTTATGTAGTGCTTTTTCAGCACTCTGCATGTGACCTTGCCGGTGGTGCTGTGGGTTAGATTCCTAACTCACACGTCACACGCTGTGTTCAAATCCTATTGGAGCCATGACTTTTTTTTTTAAACAAACTTTTCTTTGAAAAAATAAAACGTTTCCCTTGGTCAGAGATTAAATAAAACCTCACTCGCACCAAACAAATTTATATTTCTAAATATCAGAACATGATCGAATTTAAGTCATTTTAACAACAATGAATAGTCACCTTGGCGTTACAATATAAACATTTCTATTGATTTAAATCGCAAACGCGGGTTTAAATATATGTGTTTATCATTCACAATCAGACAAATGCAACATAAATTGATATCTTTGTCTTCTAACTATCTTAATAAACTTAGCATAGCTTTCTCCCCGTTTAGATTTATTTTTCTTGGGATCTTGGGATCAAACGAGGAAAGATTAGAGTGTAATCGTTTTTATTTTTTAAATACATTTTAGAAAAGTGTAATCTATACTAAAAAGCTGTACACCACCTGCTATAAAGATACATATTGTAATACTTTCGGGTTCGGATAGGACAGACACAAGAACTCAGAATTGCGGAGTTAAAGCAAGTTAAAGCCTTGATTTTAAATATTACCTTTAAAAGTGTCACCTCAAAGCAAAGTAAATACCCAACACTGATTGTACCCATCTGTCATGCTAATAAAGCACCTTGAATTAAATTGAATTGAGAGAGGTTTTTGACTTTTTTTAAATTGCAACCCATAAATAAAGCTAAACTGTTTAGACTTCTAATTATTTTAAACTGTATTACAGCAGCAAAATGCACAATGCAACGTAAATTGCAAAAATGCACTTGGAATCTGTCCAAGCCCTACTTTGTCAGGCATTTTCTTTTACTGTAACGGACATAAAAGCTCCCTTGCTTTTAACAGAGCGTTTTATAATTTCTTACTATGAACATTATTTAAACTGCGACACTTATCATTCAACCAGAGCTTGAAATATCACAAGGATCCTCAAAAGCACAGCAAAGACTTTATTAAAAGTATACTAGTGACAAACTAGTGTATTTTGGATCTTTTTTCTGAACTGGGGAAAGTCTGATCATGTTTCTCTATAACAATAATAAAAAACATTATTTTACATGTCACCTTTATGTGATATCACCTTAAGGACAGCACATACAAGGGTTAATTGCACAATGGACCGCGCAAAGAAACTTAAAATATTCTTCTTTAGGTGTGAGGGCAGGAGTGGATCGCAGCAGGCATAATCAGCAAATTAGGAAAACAAAGAACAGGACAGGTGAGACGTGTATCCAGAGAGCGAGTGATCAGAAAAAAGAACAGCTTATACGACCAGGTTTTACGCTCTCTCTACGCTCTCTCTCTCTAATCTAAGTGGTGAGAAAGCTGTGCTCAATGATAATTAAGGGACTTAAAAGTAAAAGTACTTCATATTGCTTGACTAATTTTAAAAACTAAGTTATAGATGCAAACGCCCTCTCCTAATATCTAATATCTTTTAGATTTTTATATAGAAAAAGAGACTGTACTGTATGCGTTACAATATAAACATCTACTATCATTACTATCAACCTTTAAATCAACAATTGATTTAAAGACGATCTGTCAAAGCGCAATGAAACCTATTACTCGAATCTTATGGACTCCCAGTCCCGCCAGGGATTAAAAATAACATGGAATCGCTTATCTAAAGAAATAACAGTATATAGTAGCTATGTTCATGCACAAACAATTACATGTTACATTATTAATTTGGGGGGTCTCCTCTTGCCAGAAAGCGCTAAATTGCATTTTGCCTCAACACTCCATACTCAACAACGATAATTCACAAACTGCCAGAACATGTAACTCCACATTCCCAAATAGACCTCATTTCCATAGCCCCGCCCCTTATGCACAACCAACATCCCTCCCCTGTTCTTTCTCTCCGCTGGCGTTTGTAATCGTTTTTAGTTTTAAATAAATTTTAGCAAAGTCATGTATTTTAAAAATCTTAAGATTTCT